TCACACTCGAGTTAGAATCAACATTTAACCCCTTTTCTATATTCCTACTAGATATCTTCCATTGGATAGATTCCACTTCATGATCAACCTGCTGTGCTTCTATAACTCAGCTAACTAGAGTAGGTTGTATAACTATTGTGAATAAAACGGCCGACTCTACGGACTCGCCAAGATGCAAGTTAAACTTGCTCACTACGCCTAACATCTCCCATTCCTTGATGACGATACTAGTAATACAACTTACAGATTTCCTATTCAAAGCATTGGTCACTACGTTGGCCTTCCTCGGATGATAGTGTAACTCGAAATCATAATCCTCCATAAACTCTATCCGCGTCCTCTGTCTCAAGTTCAAGTCTTTTTATGAAACTTGATATTTCAAACTTTTTTGATCAAAAAACACTTTAAATCTCTTCCCGTACAAGTAATGCCTTCAAATTTTTAAGGCAAAAATCACTACCACTAACTCTAGGACATGAGAAGGATACTTTTTCTCATGTGTTTTTAAGTACCGTGGGCCATACGTATCACTTTCCCTTCTTGTATCAATACACAACCCAAGCCTTCCTAAGATGCATCACAATAAACTGAATAAACCAAACCTCTCTCCGGAATAATTGAAACTGGGGCGGTGGTGAGTCTATCCTTAAGTTCTTGAAACGACTTTCCCCTAGTCACGCTCCACATGAATTTAATTCCCTTCCTAGTCAATTTGGTTAACGATGAAGCTAGTCTAGAGAAATTGTTCACAAAACGTTGGTAATACCCGGCTAAGCCTAAGAAACTCTAGATCTCAGAGGCATTCATAAGTTGTTCCCAATCTTGCACTGCATTTATCTTAGATGAATCTACAGTCATCCCTTCTCTAGATAACACATGGCCTAAGAACTTAACTTCTTTTAACCAAAACTCACACTTCCCAAACTTAACATATAAACGGTGTGCTCTAAGAAGCTCATGTACAACTCGCAAGTGTTCCTTGTGTTCCATCTCGAAGGGTGAGTAGACTAGGTTGTTGACGAAGACAACTATAAATCGATCTAAGAACTCACGAATGATTCGATTCATCAAATCCATAAATGAAGCAGGTGCATTGGTCAATCCAAAAGGCATCAATAAGAACTTGTAATGTGTAATAACCTGACCCTCGTACATGTTTTCTGATATATTTTCAGTTCTTGTTTTATGCTTTTAAATGTTTATTGTAAAATTCCAAGAGAAATTAAGGGTATGTAAGTGAAATCCATAGTTAAGGATGTCTATCTGTTCTCCAAGAATCGTATCTGTTACACCTAGAATATTTGAATCAGAAATTGGAAGCCTTATGGGCTTAATTATTTGAAATTGATTTTATATATGTGATCAGTATAATTTTTATGTAATATTAAGCATGGCCACGAAATTTCAATTTCGGAATGATTAAACGATTGGATTTTGTCATATATGCCCTTATATATGTTTTCTTTATGTATGAATATATATGTCTCTATGTATATTATTGAGTTAAGACTTAAGAACTTCTCCATTCAACATCTCCTGTGAGAGGAAATAGAGAGTGTGGAGAAGAAGAATTGGGGGAAACGAAATTCAACAAGAGGGATTGCCCAATTGAGGGAAGTTGTGGGATTTAAATCAAGGTAAGCTCCATCCAACCCATTTAACCTTCACTTGGACTCAAGGAAGGATGATTTCTTGTTTTGACAACTTAGGGTTTGTATTATGTATGAATTATGGTTGATTAAAAGAGGTTTCTTATCAATTGGTTGTTTTGTCACCTAATTTAGGTGTTATGTGAAAGTTACACTTCAATCTTTAGTGTTATGCTAACCCCATGAAGGTATATATATACAAGATGTTATGTTTTATGAATATAAGGACATTGCAAAAGTGATGAAGCTTCTAACATGTTCACTTTTTGTGGTTTAGATGATAATTCGTGTTATAGTAAGGTTAGGTCAATGTATTGCATAAATTCCTCCTTGTTATGCATGTAAAATGTGTTGGTATTGTTGGTTTTTTTGGTTAAACTTTGAACTGCCAAAACAGGGGCACAGCCGCTCGAGTGGAGAAGAAGAAAAATTATTTGTTCTGTTTTGTGGATGATCTTAAGATAGTTATAAATTCACTGGAAGCGTAACGAATCAGGACCTAATTTACCAAGGAAAAAGAAGAACTAATATGCAAGTTTTGATGGTGTACAGGACACATTCCGGGAGGAAGTAGCATGTCATCTCAACACCACTGTGAGTAGTAGTACCATTATATGTTTCATATGTATAGCTAATGATTGTCATTAGCATCTTGTTCACATACGATATGTAATTATGTTCATGTTTTGATGTGGATATATAAAGAAATGGAGAAGATGAAATGATTCCATTCTTTAAAATTATGGGCCTTTGGCCATACGATATAAGTAACTACGATATGAAACAAAGTGCTACACGGGACTAAGTGCTACAATATGAGTCACCGCTAGAACCCGTGTGAGACACCTCTTGAGTTCATACAAGAATGTACAAGAGCTTAATGTCAAATGATTCAAGGGCTCAATGCCAATTTACAAGGGCTTAATGCCAAATGATTCAAGGGCTCCATGCCAATTTATTCAAGGGCCTTGCGCCACTATGTTTACGGGCTTCGTGCCACCATGATTAAGAGTTTGTGCCACACTAGACAAGGGCTTTAAGCCAAAATATTATGTCCAAGCCAATATGTCCCAAGATAAGTTCGAAGACCATTATGAATAAGTACAGATTCAGACTCTCTATATGAATGTTGTATTAGTATACGAAAGTACATGTTTGAAGCTTTGAATATCAGGTTGGAACTTTAATTAGAATTTTAAAATTTCAGAAATTGCACGGTCCGCTCGAGCGTGGTAAGTCCCGCTCGAGCGTGAAAATTAACCTCTCAGCAGTTTTCAGACGTTTCGCTGTCCGCTCGAGCGGCAAAATGGATGCTCGAGCTTAAAAATCGACCTCCCAGCATTTTTATTAAATTATACAGTCCGCTCGAGCGGCAAAATGGACGCTCGAGCGGGGATCCATTTTCAGAATCATTTGGGAAGTTGCATTTAGTTCATGTTTATGTTCACATCTATTTCCAAAGTATTTTAGACATGATTGTGGATCAATAAGTGTCGACAAGCTACGAATCTATATGTATTCTTTTACTATGATTCAAGTTAGGCATTACTTTAGTTATGTATTACTATTCACTGAGCTTGGCTCACCTTTTTTTTTTTATATATGTCTGTTTCTGTAGGTAACCAACCAGGAGGTTAGCCCTAACCCAGGACGTCCATTCTTTTTGTCAACCTTTCTGAGTCCAGGCATTAGACGAGATTACTCATTTTTGTGAAGCTTCGCTAAGATGTTAACTTGTATTTTAACTACTCATTAAGGTTGATTGAACATGACTTAAATGTTTTTGTAATTGCCCTTCCTTAGGATTGGGACTGTATACGTATGTATGTAACTGACGTTTAATGTATAATTTTGGCTTGTAACTGCTCGTTCTAATGTTCTTGATGCATGTGATCCTGGCATATTAGAGGTAGCTCAATGGAGTTTGGGATATTATTTTAGTTCTAATGCTTCCGTTAAGGCCCCGTATACTATGTATGCTAGTGTATGTGTCCGTTTTTGTATAGGTCATGCCCAAACTTTTAGGGGCGGGTTGGGGGCTTGACAAGTGGTATCAGAGCATGAGTTGCTATCTCACACACGGGTCCATTGAGCTCTAGGGTGTCTAGAAAAGTTTTAGGCATTCTGCATGGCATCCTGCAAGTATATGAAAGATCGATGGCAACGCTAAGAGTACTCTAATAAGGCTAACAACTTTGAATATGTTTATTGCATATAAATGCTTGTTGTGTAGGCAATGGTGAGAACAAGGACAGAGGATGTGGAAGATACCACTGCATGGTTGGATAGAATGGAGAGAATGATTATGGAAATGGCAGAGACCTTACGGCAACAACAACAGCAACAACCACAACAGCAGCAACAGCCACAAGAACAACCGCCACCACCGCCGGTACCTCCACCGGCAGTACAAGATCTCCATGCTGAAGATCGAACTATTACCCTTATCAAAGAGTTTAAAAAGATGAAACCGCCGTCCTTCAAAGGAGGAATAGAACCAATGAAAGCTGAAGCATGGGTGTTGGGAATAGAGAAGTTATTTGAAGTCTTTTCTTGTACCGAAGCTCAGAAGGTGCAATTGGCTGCATTCGCTTTCGAGGATGAGGCGTGGAGATGGTGGATGCTTACGAGAACTATACATCAAGGATTGACATGGGACAGGTTCTTGGAGATATTCTATGATAAGTATTTTCCACAAAGTATGCGAGATAAAAAGGTGACTGAATTCGAAACCCTCAGGCAAGAGAACAAGACCGTTGCTGAGTATGAAGCTCAATTTGCCGAGTTGGCCTGGTTCGCACCTCACATGGTGGACACGGATTATAAGAAGGCACGGAAATTTGAAGGGGGATTACGGCGTGCTATTCTAGACTGAGTTAATATGTTGAAGCTGCCTACCTATGTGGAAGTGTTGGAGAGGGCCGTTATAGTAGAAGGGAATATCGCTGCACAAAACTGAATTTCTGAATGGAAGGGGAAAAGGAAAAACAGTCAATGGTCGAAGGGGGCAACTACTCCACCAAATAAGAAACAAAATTCAGGGACTTCAAATGTTTCTATCCCTAATCAAGATTCAATTCCTATATGTGTGGAGTGTGGAAAAAGGCACCGTGGGATATGTTATCGGAAATCTGGAGCCTACTTTCAGTGTGGAAAGACGGGCTATGTGATAAGGGATTGCCCTCAGAGGAAGCAGCAGCAAAATAGCAACAGGACTACCAACTATCAATACCAAGGCACCGGTCAAAGCTACTAACAACAAGGACACCGCGAGACAAGGTAGGGTGTTTGCATTGGTTCCGGGAGATGTGCAAAAGGCGGCGACAGTGGTGTTAGGTACATTTATGGTTCATGGTCATTCTGCTACCGGTCAAAGCTACTAACAACAAGGACACCGCGAGACAAGGTAGGGTGTTTGCATTGGTTCCGGGAGATGTGCAAAAGGCGGCGACAGTGGTGTTAGGTACATTTATGGTTCATGGTCATTCTGCTTGTGTATTGTTTGATTCCGGTTCTACCCATTCTTTTGTGTCAAAGCTATTTACTCCTAATTTAGATACATCTGAGGAAGCATTATCTTATATGCTGTGTGTGTCGTCACCATTGGGAGATTCTATGATTTGTACTTCTATACATGTCGCTTGTGAACTCCACCTTGGGGATATTCGGGTATACGCTAACTTAATACCTCTCGATATGATGTATTTTGATATTGTACTGGGAATGGATTGGTTGAGTGAACATAGTGCAACTATAAACTGTTTGACTAAGCAAGTGAGTTTTCACCCTCCGGGTCAAGCAGAATCTATAGTTCAGGGACAAGAGGTGACTTCCCCACCGTATTTCATTTCTGCGGCAAAGGCTTGCAGATTAATTCAGAAAGGGTGTTAGGGGTATCTGGGTAGTATTCTAAAAGAGCAAATGGTGAATGGGGGTACTGACATAATTCCAGTTGTTCGTGAATTTCCGGACGTCTTCCCAGAAGAGTTACCAGGGCAATTGATAGACCGAGAAATTGAGTTTACAATCGAAGTGGCACTGGGAACTCAACCCATTTCTAAGACCCCATATAGAATGTCACCAGTTGAGATGAAGGAATTAAAACTTCAATTGCAAGATTTACTAGACAAGGGATTCATTCGTCCGAGTGTGTCTCCGTGGGGTGCACCAGTTCTGTTTGTGAAAAAGAAGGATGGAACACTCCGGCTTTGTATTGATTACAGGGAACTTAATAAGGTAACAATCAAGAATAAGTACCCATTGCCAAGGATTGATGATTTATTTGACCAGCTTCAGGGGGCACAAGTCTTTTCTAAAATCGATCTACGGTCTGGGTACCATCAATTAAGGGTTAAGGCTGATGATGTTGAGAAGACAGCCTTTCGAACTCGTTATGGTCATTATGAATTTCTGGTTATGCCCTTTGGAGTTACTAACGCCCCAGCAGCCTTTATGGATTTAATGAACCGCATATTTAAGCCTTATTTGGATGAATGTGTGGTGGTCTTTATTGATGATATTCTCATTTATTCGAAAACTGTAGAAGCTTATGAGAATCATCTTCAGTTGATTCTTCAAACCCTCCGGGAAAAGAAACTGTATGCAAAGCTGAAGAAATGTGAATTTTGGCTACTAGAGGTGGCATTTCTGGGGCATGTTATCACTAAGGAAGGAGTTTTTGTTGATCCACACAAGATTGAGGCAATAGTGAATTGGCCAACTCTCACTAATGTGACTGAAGTGCGTAGTTTTATGGGGTTAGCCGGCTATTACAGGCTGTTTGTTCAAGATTTTTCGAAAATTGCTGTGCCGCTTACACAACTGACTCGAAAAGGAGTTGCATTTGAATGGACAGAAGAACGGGAGTCTGCTTTCCGAGAATTGAAGACAAAGTTTACTACAGCACCAGTGTTGGCCTTACCTTCCGGTACCGAAGGGTTTGTAATTTACAGTGATGCTTTTTATAAAGGACTTGGTTGTGTACTTATGCAGAATGGAAGAGCTATCGCCTACGCTTCTCGTCAACTGAAACCCCATGAGAAGAATTATCCCACTCATGATCTTGAGTTGGCAGCAGTCGTCTTTGCTTTGAAGATATACACCGACCACAAGAGTCTCAAGTACCTTTTTACTCAAAAAGAGTTGAATACGCGGCAGCGACGGTGGTTGGAACTTATTAAAGATTATGATTTGCAGATTCGTTATCATCCTAGTAAAGCCAACACAGTTGCAGATGCGCTCAGTCGGAAAAGCATGGGGACTTCGACAAGTTTGTCTACAGGGCAAAAGGAATTAGCAAATGAATTGGCTAAAGTGGAAGTGGACCTTGTGTTACAGGGACAGGAAGCTTTAATGGCAGCGGTGATGGCCCAACCAACCTTACTTGAGGAAATTAAATTGCATCAGATGGAAGACGAAACTCTAAAGAAGATATGTGATGAATTAGGAACTAAATCGAAGTCGGGATTCAGTGTAGTAGATGAGGTGCTCAAATTTCAAAACCGAATATGTGTCCCCAATGTGTTGAACCTTAAGCGAAAGCTGATGGGAGACGCACATACCTCAAAGTTTTCAATGCATCCAGGGAGTACCAAAATGTACCGAGATTTGAAACAAAATTTTTGGTGGCCAAGTATGAAGAAGGAGATCGCGGAGTTTGTCTCTAAGTGTTTGCAATGCCAGCAAGTAAAGGCGGAGCATCAAAAACCTGCCGGTTTGTTACAACCCCTTCCTATCCCAGAATGGAAATGGGAACATCTAACCATGGATTTTGTTGTGGGGTTACCATGGACTCCGTGAGGTATGAATTCAATATGGGTCATAGTGGACCGATTAACTAAATCCGCCCACTTCCTACCAGTAAAGACTTAGTATAATGCAGATAAACAGGCAGTAATTTATGTAAATGAAATTGTGAGGCTTCGTGGTGTTCCAGTTTCAATTGTGTCAGATAGGGACCCGAAGTTTGTTTCCAGATTCTGGCAAAGTTTACAAGAAGCATTGGGTACGGAATTAAAGTTCAGCACAACATTCCACCCTCAGACCGACGGTCAATCCGAGAGAACGATACAGACTTTGGAGGATATGCTCCGTATGTGTGTGTTGGATTTTCAAGAAAGTTGGGAAACCCATCTACCGTTGATAGAGTTCGCATACAACAATAGTTACCACTCAAGTATCGAGATGGCACCCTATGAGGCTCTGTATGGAAGACCGTGTCGGTCTCCAGTATGTTGGTCTGAAGTTGGAGATAAATCCTTGCTAGGCCCTAAAATTGTTTAGTTAACCACTGAAAAGGTTAAAACTATTCGGGAAAGATTGAAAACTGCGCAAACTAGACAGAAAAGTTATGCGGATAATCGACGAAGGGATTTGGAATTTGAAGTAGATAGTCATGTTTTTGTGAAGGTCACTCCGATGAAAAGACATCCAAGGTTCGGGAAGAGGGGCAAGTTAACACCCCGGTATGTAGGTCCATTCCAAATTTTAGAGAAAGTGGGTCCGGTAGCTTACCGGGTTGCCCTTCCGCCGAATATGAGTCAAGTACATAACGTGTTTCATGTCTCTATGCTTCGCGGATACCTCCCGGATCTGTCTCATGTTATTGACTATCACCAAATTGAGTTGGATGACAAGCTAACTTACGAGGAAAAACCAATCCGCATTTTGGACCGACAAGTGAAACAATTACGAAACTGGGAAATTCCAATGATAAAAGTTGAGTGGCAAGAACACTACGGAACTGACGCAACTTGGGAAAAAGAAGAGGAAATGCAACGCCAATACCCACATCTGTTTCAGTCCTAAGGTAAAACAAGTTTGGAGGACCAAACTTATTTAAGGGGGGGGGGGGAGAGTGTAATAACCTGACCCTCATACATTTTTTCTGATATATTTTCAGTTCTTGTTTTATGCTTTTAAATGTTTATTGTAAAATTCCAAGATAAATTAAGGGTATGTAAGTGAAATCCATAGTTAAGGATGTCTATCTGTTCTCCAAGAATCGTATCTGTTACACCTAGAATATTTGAATCAGAAATTGGAAGCCTTAGGGGCTTAATTATCTGAAATTGATTTTATATATGTGATTAGCATAATTTTTATGTAATTTTAAGCATGGCCATGAAATTTCAATTTCGGAATGATTAAACGATTGGATTTTGTCTTATATGCCCTTATATATGTTTTCTTTATGTATGAATATATATGTCTCTATGTATATTATTGAGTTAAGAACTTCTCCATTCAACATCTCCTGTGAGAGGAAATAGAGAGTGTGAAGAAGAAGAATTTGGGGAAACGAAATTCAACAAGAGGGATTGCCAAATTGAGGGAAGTTGTGGGATTTAAATCAAGGTAAGCTCCATCCAACCCATTTAACCTTCACTTGGACTCAAGGAAGTATAATTTCTTGTTTTGACAACTTAGGGTTTGTATTATGTATGAATTATGGTTGAATAAAAGAGGTTTCTTATCAATTGGTTGTTTTGTCACCTAATTTAGGTGTTATGTGAAAGTTACATTTCAATCTTTAGTTTTATGCTAACCCCATGAAGGTATATATATATACAAGATGTTATGTTTTATGAATATAAGGACATTGCAAAAGTGATGAAGCTTCTAACATGTTCACTTTGTGTGGTTTAGATGATAATTCGTGTTATAGTAAGGTTAGGTCAATGTGTTGCATAAATTCCTCCTTGTTTTGCATGTAAAATGTGTTGGTATTGCTGGTTTTTTTGGTTAAACTTCGAACTGCCAAAACAGGGGCACAGCCGCTCGAGCGGAGTCACGGCCGCTCGAGCGGAGAAGAAGAAAAATTATTTGTTCTGTTTTGTGTGCTTGACCCTCTACTATTTTTAGATTATGTTTTGATGATCTTAAGATAGTTATAAATTCACTCAAAGTGCAACGAATCAGGACCTAATTTACCAAGGAAAAAGAAGAACTAATATGCAAGTTTTGATGGTGTACAGGACACACTCCGGGAGGAAGTAGCACGTCATCTCAACACCACTGTGAGTAGTAGTACCATTATATGTTTCATATGTATAGCTAATGATTGTCATTAGCATCTTGTTCAGATACGATATGTAATTATGTTCATGTTTTGATATGGGTATATAAAGAAATGGGGAAGATGAAGTGATTCCATTCTTTAAAATTATGGGCCTTTGGCCATAAGGTATAAGTAACTACGATTCGAAACAAAGTGCTACATGGGACTAAGTGCTACAGTGTGAGTCACCGCTAGAACCCGTGTGAGACACCTCTTGAGTTCATACAAGAATGTACAAGAGTTTAATGTCAAATGATTCAAGGGCTCAATGCCAATTTACAAGGGCTTAATGCCAAATGATTCAAGGGCTCCATGCCAATTTATTCAAGGGCCTTGCACCACTATGTTTACGGGCTTCGTGCCACCATGATTAAGAGTTTGTGCCACACTAGACAAGGGCTTTAAGCCAAAATATTATGTCCAAGCCAATATGTCCCAAGATAAGTTCGAAGACCATTATGAATAAGTACAGATTTAGACTCGCTATATGAATGTTGTATTAGTATACGAAAGTACATGTTTGAAGCTTTGAATATCAGGTTGGAACTTTAATTAGAATTTTAAAATTTCAGAAATTGCACGGTCCGCTCGAGCGTGGTAAGTCCCGCTCGAGCGTGAAAATTAACCTCTCAGCAGTTTTCAGACGTTTCGCTGTCCGCTCGAGCGGCAAAATGGATGCTCGAGCTTAAAAATCGACCTCCCAGCATTTTTGTTAAATCGCACAGTCTGCTCAAGTGGCAAAATGGGCGCTCGAGCGGGGATCCATTTTCAGAATCATTTGGGAAGTTGCATTTAGTTCATATTTATATCCACATCTCTTTCCAAAGTGTTT